ATATGCTGTTTTGTAAAGACAGGCAGGGAAGAGGTGGAGGAGTCATGCTCTATCTAAAGGAAAGCCTTGAATGTGTAGAACTGTGGTAATTGTGGTAGTCCTATTGAATACCTCTGGGTCAAAATCAGAGGGGTTCTCTCCAAGGTTGACCTTACTTTAGGCATCTGTTACTGATCCCCAAACCAAGATGACGTGACCAGTGAAGTGATAGTCGGGTTGCTCAGGCAAGCTTCAGGTCGACAAAACCTGGTCCTTATGGCAGACAATAACTACCCAGATGTTTGCTGGAGGAACAACACTGCAGCTCACCTGACATCCAACAAGTTCCTAAAATGTGTAGAAGGCTGCTTCCTCACACAAATGTTGGATGTGCCAACCAGGAATGGGGCACAGCTGGACTTAACTACTCAGTAACCAAGAAAACCTGCTCTGTAATATCTTGGTTAGTGACAGACTCAGCTGCAGTGACCACAATATTGTGGAGTTTGGGATACTGCTGAGCACAATGAAGGTTAATTCCAGGAAAAAGGTTTTAGATTTTTAAAAAGCAAAATTCAGCTTGCTTCAGGCTCAGTTGGAAGGGATCCCGTGGGAAGCTTCCGCAGAGAGTAAAGGGGCTGGCAAAACCAGTTCATCCCCTCTAAAGGCAACAGAAGTAGGCAGAGCAAGAGACCCCCTTGGCTTAACTGTGAGCTTCTGGGTCTGCTCAGAACCAAAAGGGAAATGTACCAGAGGTGGAAAAGTGGAACATTACTTGTTGCAAATTACAAGAACACTGACAGGGCATGCAGAGATGCAGTTAGGAAAGTAAAAGCTCAGCGTGAGCTGACATTGGCCAGAGATGTCAAAAACTTCAAGAAAGGGTTCTTCAGATATGTTAACCACAAGCAGAAACAGAGGAATAATATTGGCCCACTGTTAAACAGGAGAGGTGAATTAGTCACCAACAATATTGAAAAGGCAGAGGTCCTCAACACCTTCTTCACCTCTGTCTTTACCAGTGCTGTTGGGTCCCGGGCCATAAGAACAAAAGTCCAGGTTGATACAGACACTGACCCACCATCAGTGAAGGAAGAGTTGGCATGTCAACTATTACAGGAGCTTGACCCATACAAATTGATGGGCCTGGATGCCATCACCCTATGGTGTTCAGAGAGCTGGCTGATGTTGCAAAACTGCTCTCCATACTCTTTGAGAAGCTGTCGAGATTGGGAGACATTCCTGAGGACTGGAGGAAGACTAATGTCACCCCCATCTATAAGAAGGGTTCCAAGGAGGACCCAGGTAATTATAGACCCATTAGCCTCACTTCAGTCCCTGGAAAAGTCATGGAGCAAAACCTCCTGTGGACTGTTCACAAGTCCATCGAAGCACGTGATTGGGAAAAGCCAACGTGGATTTACCAGGGGCAAATCATGCTTGACAAACCTGATTGCCTTCTACAACAAAGTAACCTGCTCAGTTGATGAAGGGCAAGTGGTGGACATCGTCTATCTGGACTTTTCCAAGGCTTTTGATATGGTTCCCCACAGCCTCCTCCTGGAGAAACAGACTTGTTACAGCCTTGACAAGTGGTCTGTGCAGTGGGGGTGGGGAACTGGCTGACAGACTGTACCCAGAGGGTGATAGTAAATAGTTCCTCCTCAAACTCCCAACCGGTCACAAGTGAGGTCTCCCAGGGATCGATATTGGGCCCTATGCTGTTTAACATCTTCATAAGTGACCTGGATATTGGGATCAAGAGCACCCTGGTGAAGTTTGCTGACAATACAAAGATGAGTGGAAAGGTTGACACTCCAGAAGGGAGGGCCACCCTCCAGGATGACCTAGACAGGCTAGAGGAGTGGGCTAGCAGGAACCTTATGAAGGTCAACAGGGAGAAGTGTAAGATCTTACACCTGGAAAAATATAACCCAGGAGCACAGTTCAGACGAGAATCCACCTGGCTGGAGAGCAGCCCTGTGGAAAGGGACCTGGGGGTCCTGGTGGGAAACAGGCTCAACACGAGTGAACAGTGTGCTGCAGCAGCAAAGAAAGCCAACAGGATGCTGGGCTGCATCAATGAGGGAATCACCAGCAGAGATAAAGAAGTCATCATCTCTATTCAGTGCTTGTCAGACCACACTTGGAGTATTGCATTCAGTTTTGGTTCCCGCTCTACAAAAAGGATGAGGATAAGCTGGAGAGGGTTCAGAGAAGGGCCACAAGGATGATCAGAGGACTGGAGGACCTGCCATATGAGGAGAGGCTGAGAAAATCAGGTTTGTTCAGCCTTGAGAAAAGAAGGCTTTGGGGATACCTTATTACCATATTCCAGTACTTAAAGGGTGGCTACCAAGAAGATGGAGGCTCCCTATTTACAAGGAGTCACATGGAAAAGACAAGGGATAATAGGCACAAGTTGCTCCTGGGGAGATTCTGATTGGACACAAGGTAAATTTTTCACCATGAGGACAGTCAAACATTGGAATAGTCTCCCAAGGGAAGTGGTAGATTCCCCCACATTGGACAGTTTTAAGTCTCAGTTTGACAGGGTGCTGAGCCATCTCATTTAAACTCCAGTATTACCTAAAAAGGTTGGACCAGATGATCCTTGAGGTCCCTTCCAAACTGGCATTCTATGATTCTAAAATAAAAAGTACCCAGAAGTTGTATTTTAGAGTTAAGATATAGCAGAGTTCTCAAGAAAGTGTCTAGTACACAAAAAATACCCCTCTACCTGCTCATTAGCACACTAGTGTTTCAAGGCTGATGAGGGGGGGAAGAAGGGTATCGTGCTACAGAATACTATTTTCCTAAAGTGGGTGAAATTCAGGCAAAATTTGTCCAGAGCACACTTTTTTTCTTTTGTCCTATATATCCCTTTTTTCTTGAAAAACAAACTTGAAAAGATTTAACATTTGCATCTCATTCATGGTTATCCAGTGGCTGCATTTTTAGTTCTGTAAAGGCCAAAAGTGTTGAAGAACTGCGTACTTAAAAAAACTTAAGTCAGAAATTAATACCAGTATGTCACTTTTCTACATGAAGCTTCTGAAAGCCCTACACCCACAGAACTTAAACACACATGCAGACAAAACATTTAGTAGTTGCTATAAAATGCTAGGAAGCAGTAGCGGTGAAAGAGTTGAAACTTTTTAATTTTATTTTATTTTTAATACACAAAAATGTTGCTTAAATGGTAAAAAACACTTTGAAAATTTCCAGAAAGTATTAGACTAGAGAAGAGTGCTGCCAGGGAAAATTACCTTTCAGGTCTGCAGCTCCAGGAAATAACATGATAAGAGAAGCCAAGGCACCTCACAGAGCACCTTTTAAATTTAAGGTTGCAGAGCTAATGTTAAAAATAAAAATTATAAAAAAGGGTAACCCATGCTGTAAAATAGGCATGGAAAACCCTTGATGCAATTCATCTGCATCTTAAAAACAGACAAAAATCCTCCCCAAAACCAACTTATTCCATGTTCATAATTTTAATGGTTTCTCCTAATTTTAGGAAGGAGAAACATCTTCCGAAACTTATTTAACAATACAAAAAAATCAGACACAATACATGAATAGTCATATTCTGACAGATATACCTACTTCTGAATATAAGGGTGGAGGCAGAAAACGGAACTCCTGGATGTATGCAAATAATGGTCCTTGAAGTACACTCTCAAAATCATCAAAAGCAGCTATAGGTGCAATACTGGACTGTCTGTTTTCCTCTGTGACCACTTCTGCATAGCTAGGAGGTGCTGAAGGGAGAAGGTAGATGCAATTCAAACAAAAAGTTCTTATGCATGTCAAAATACATAGCATGATTAATATTAAACTTTAATCACTGCAAGATCCATCAGCAGGTAGGTGGCTTCTTAAAAAATGGTTAAACAAAAAAGAGACTAGACTATTTAGTTTTATTCTAATATTAAGCTAATGTTAAAAAAATAAACAACAAAAAACCCCTGAACTCTTTATTGTGGCTTAATTATACCCTTAAAATTTAAAGCATAGCAAGGATAATTTATTTCTGTACAGGTAGGAATGACAGAACATTGCAGTCCTCTAGATTCCAGAAGTCTCCAGGCCTGAAATTTTTACTTAAAAAACCCAAGATATTTAATATGTGAAAACAGAAGGAAAGAAAAAAATAATTCTTTCTTTGGCCATAAGTTTTTCCATAGAAAAACTTTTCACAAAGCCTTGGCTACTAAGGCTGGTGAGAGACCCTAGAAACTGCTATTATGGGTTGCAATGCCTTATAACCAAGGATGCCCTGATGGGATGCATCCATGAGTTCTGAGAGAGCTGGCAGATGTTATTGCTAGGCCACTCTCCATCATCTTTGAGAGGTCATGGAGAACAAGAGAGGTGCCTGAGGACTGGAGGAGGGCTAATGTCACTCCAGTCTTCAAGAAGGGCAAGAAAGGCAAGAAGGAAGACCCAGGGAACTACAGGCCGGTTAGTCTCACCTCTGTTCCTGGTAAGGTGTTAGAAAAAAATCATTCTGGACATCACAAAACATGTGAAAGCGAAGAATGTCATTGGGAGAAGTCAGCATGGATTCACCCAAGGGAAATCATGCTTGACCAACCTGATTGCCTTCTATGATGTCATAACTGGCTGGCTGGATGAGGGGAGAGCAGTGGATGTTATCTACCTTGACTTCTGCAAGGCTTTTGATACTGTCTCCCATAACATCCTTGTTAGGAAACTCATGAAGAGTGGGCTTGATGAGTGGAAAGTGAGGTGGATTGAGAGCTGGCTGTGTGACAGATCTCAGAGGGTGGTGATCAACGGATTAGGGTTGAGTTGGAGGCCAGTAACCAGTGGTGTCCCCCAGGGATCAATACTCGGTCCAGTCTTGTTCAACGTGTTCATCAATGATCTGGACGAGGGGACAGAGTGTATCCTCAGCAAGTTCGCTGATGATAGAAAACTGGGAGGGGTGGCTGACACTCCAGAGGCCTGTGCTGCCATTCAGAGTGACCTGGACAGGCTACAGGGTTGGGCAGAGAAGAACCTCATGAGGTTTAATAAGAGCAAGTGTGGGGTCCTGCAGCTGAAAGAAAGAACTCCAAGCACCAATAGAGGTTAGGGGTGGATCTGCTGGAAAGCAGTTCAGAGGAGAAAGATCTTGGAGTCCTGATAGACAGTAAATTATCCATGAGCCAGCAGTGTGCCCTTGCTGCCAAGAAGGCCAATGGAATCCTTGGTTGCATAAAGAAGAGTGTGGCCAGTAGGTCAAGGGAGGTCATTCTCCCCCTCTACTCTGCCCTGGTGAGACCACAGCTGAAATACTGCATCCAGTTCTGGGCTCCACAGTTCAAGAGAGACAGGGAGCTACTAGACAGAGTCTAGAGGAAGGTGATGAAGATGATAGGGAGACTGGAGCATCTCTCTTATGAGGAAAGGCTGAAGGAACTGGGACTCTTTAGCCTGCAGATGAGAAGGCTGAGGGGAGACCTTATAAATGTATACAAGTATCTAAAGGGTGGGTGCAAGGAAGATGGGGACAGGCTCTTCTCAGCAACTCCCAGTGTCAGAATGAGGGGCAATGGGTACAAGTTGGAACATAGGAAATTCCATTTAAATATGAGGAAAAGCTTCTTTGTGGTGAGGGTGACGGAGCACTGGAATATGCTACCCAGGGAGGTTGTGGAGTCTCCATCTCTGGAGATATTCAAAACCCATCTGGATACAGTTCTGTGTAAAGTGCTCTAGGCTATCCTACTTCAGTGGCAGAGTTGGACTAGATGATCTCTAGAGGTCCCTTCCAAGTCCAGCAATTCTGTGATGCGATTGGGATACTGGAGGTGGAAGTAATGAAGTTGTGTACAGGTACAATGGCATCCTGTTCTTTCATTTCTGCCACCTTCCAAGGCAGCTGGATTTAGAAAAGCAGGGAGGGAAGAAACTGTTCTTCTACATAGGACAAGTAGGTGTCACAGAAAACAGCCACAACAGATTTCCCGTGGGCTTTATTATGAAAGGATGTAATTTGAGTCTTAGCAAGACTGCAATGAATAAAGCAGACAAAAATCAAAGCAAACAAATATCAAAGCAGATAAGCAAATTGATTGGTATTTGTATTGTCAAGTTACCTTCTGGTCTTTCGGGCAGTGTCAGGCCAAGCCAATTCGTGTTCATGCTACCCTGGCTGCTCACACTTGATGTTCTGCTACCAAATGGATGTAGAGGAATGGTACCAATGACCAGTGGTAAGTTAAGGAATAAATCCATGGCTCCTGGAATATCAACATATACCTGAAGGAAAATTATATAAGTGAATTATTAAAATGTGGGGTTTTAATCAGCACTTCATAAGTATTAGTCTAAGTTGTCTTTCCATGGAAGTTTCCATGAGGAGCTTGTTTCTAATGGTCTCTTTTAGGGCCCACGCCCCTATGGAGACACGAGCACTTCAAGTTAAAAGAAGAGTCTTAACATGAGCCTCACATGGAAACGCAGTCTACTCATTAAACACTTGCTTAGTTGACACACAGATGTTTTAAGAACTTGCAAGATTTAAACTAAATTTACTTACCAGATTTCCTGTCAGGACAAATACCAGAACATTTATTTCTTTCATAACTATCACAAAATGCTGTGCTAGGAATTTGTATGAAATGTTGAAAGCTACTCATTCTCTAGAGTGAAACAGACCACCCAACATACCATAAGTGAATACTCCACACGGATTATACTACAGTCAAGGATTGAAGGGGAAACAGGTGGAATTTTCAACTGTTTGCCATTCCAAGTTTCTGTTTTGCCAGATGACAAGGATTCCCCACGGAGGTTGGCAACAAGCTGTTTGACTTCCTTCATTTTCCCTTTGGCATAGAAAGCCTGTGTTTGGTAAATGGTTGCCTTTGGCACCACCATACGGGAAGAGCAATTCTCAATCTCAGCAAAGATCTGAATTGATTCACCTGAAACAAAAAACAAACAAATAAAAAAAACCCAACAGAATTTCAAGTTCTCCTTACATTTACAAGGCAGGTAAAGCAAACTGTCACATTCTGTATACTGTTATATCGCACAAGATGCTGCTATCACTGCTCTACCTGGAAAAACATCCACTGATGCCAATAGAGAAAAGATCCCCATGAGCTGTTCTGAAAGGAAAAATCCAAACACAAACCAACCAACCAAAAAACAAACAAAAACAATGAACAAAACAAACACCAAGAAAAGAAACAACCCCCAAAACATACTGGTCTAATAGATGAGGTCCTTTAACAATCTAGAGATACAAGTAGTAGTGTCTTAGTTAACAGAGTATACTGAGAAGATTGCTAAATGCAGACTGAAGTGGTAAAAATATCCTTAATATTTCATTTATATAAAAACAGTAAGTACAAACTGTGGCTTTAAATGGGAAGAAAAAACATATCCTATGAATACATGTACTACATACCTGGGGTGTAGCCCTTTCTTTCAATTTTGGCACTTAAGGATATTGGGCCTGAGGTACAAAGCCAACAACATAGAGTCTTTTCTTTTGTGCCTGCTTGGGGTGACTGCAAGAAGAGAAAAAATACCGTCCATTAAATTAGGGGCTCTATTAATCTCTTCAGGAATTTAAATAAACACAGGGAAATTATAATTTTCATATATGTGCCCTCAGCACAAGAAAGATATAGACCTATTGGAGAGAGTCCAGAGAAGGGCCATCAAGATGATCAAAGGCCTGGAGCACCTCTGCTATGAAGACAGACTACGAGAATTGGGGCTGTTCAGCCTGGAGACGAGAAGGCTCTGGGGAGACCTTATAGTGGCCTTCCAGTACTTGAAGGGGGCCTACAGGAAAGCTGGGGAGGGGCTTTTCATCAGAGAAGATAGTGATAGGACAAGGGGTAATGTTTTTAAACTGAGGGATGATTTACGTTAGATATTAGGAAGAAATTCTTCACTATAAGGGTGGTGAGGAACTGGAATGGGTTGCCCAGGGAGGTTGATGCCCCAACCTTGGAGGTGTTTAAGGCCAGGTTGGACGAGGTTTTGTGCAACCTGGTCTAGTGGTAGGGTTCCCTGCTCATGGCAGGGGGGTTGGAACTTGATGATCTTTAAGGTCCCTTCCAACCTTAATGATTCTATGATTCTATGATAATGTGCTTATTATTACATATTTTGTAAACCAAAGCTACTTTCATAGGAAAAGCCTCAAGCAACTTAAACAGCATTACACAGATACGTTTGTCCTAATTCCATTGCAGTATAAGTATGAATTTTCTTACCATCCTCCAGACATACTTAAAACAGTTTTTAATACTAAAAATAAACACTGCGTAGCTTAAAACAAAAGGCTTCATAGCCTACACATCCCAACATACTGTTCCATAGCTTTTCTTTTAACTAACAGCAAATGAGAACATCATCTCACTTTTCATTAAGCTGTATTTCAGAAATAAAATAACTGAGCTAAACTACTGTAAATCTTGACTCTTGCAATTTCCTCTGTTTCTGAATGATCCTATTTCACCTATATTAAAAAGACTTATTTTATACAACATCGGAATTCAGGGCTTGATCCAAAGCCCATTAAGGTCAAACAAGAGACCTTTGATTTTAATGGAGTTTGTGCAAGGTCCCTTTGTAAAGCCTGATTTTTCACCCATACACACAAGAAACCTATTTCAATGGACTTCTAATTATTTTTTTTCCTCTAGATAAAAATTTGAGGAAGGGATAAAATAAAGGAATTCTAGGCCAGACTCAAATAAAATCCTCATTGAAAGCAGTTGTGATATTACAGATATTTTAATAAAAAGAAATTTCAGGAAAAGATTACTCAGAATTGTGATAATTTCTCCCCATGGGTAGAAAACTATCCATATGGAAATTATCAATTATGCACTGCAGTAAATTTTTTACTTTGCATTTTTAAGTTAGCAGTCCCTCACTAAAATATTGAGTTGCACTGTTCCATATTCTTTATTTATAATTGAAGAGGAGCAGTTCACCAATTATTCTTCCTTAATGAGATTCTACAATTTAGTAGTATCAATTTAGATTGACAAATGCATTGTATGTATCGTAAAAATCAAGTAACTCCAAGTACAGGATAACTTAGCCTTCAAAATACCAGCAGTTAAAGAGTTGCTAAACAGATATAATACTTAAAAGAAGAGCTGTAGTTAAACTAGCAAATAAATATTAGGTAAAATTACATGTTGATGTTGTTTCAGTTATTAAACTTCATTGGTTTTATGCCTGTGGGAAACTCTTCTTTTTCTTCACATAAGTCTAAACAAACCCCCTTACAGTACTTACATCTGTGGAAGCTCAAAGCCCCCCTGGCATCGGCTTGCGACAATGCCAGAAAAGAAAAATGAATCAGTTCTTACCAGTAATGAAGGAGTGTTGATATCTATATGTTCAAAGACTGTAAATTCCTTCTTTAATTTTACTGGTAGAAACCAAGGCCTATGCAATTCGGCTTTCACCCAATAGCGCACACTGCCATGTCTGCCTTCGAATGAGGTAGCGAGTGGTCTGTGCAGGACAAAGGTCAGAGTTGAGTAAAATTTTTCTCTCTTTCCAATAACAATACAATTGATCAGATTAGGAATTAGAATGCAGATCAGATGAGGAATTAGAATATAGAACTGTATTTTTAGTGCATCATAATAAGCATAACTTATTTGCAAAGTTTCCATATATCAGAAGAATGTAAGATTACAGCTGGGAGAAAATATCAACTCCAATTCATCCAACAGTAGTTTTGTAGAAGTTTTAAGAATCAATTAAAGAATTGTGCTAGAAAATGCCAGAAGAGTACATGTTTCCTTCAGACTTAAAAGGCCACTTTCAAGTGTTGAACAAAGCATGCCCTTTTAAGGTAAAATCAAGACCACCAAATACAATTAGCATTAGTACCATCCAATTATTGCTTTGGACATTGTATTCTGTAAATAACTGTGTATTATTTACTTGGCTAGTAGCTCAGTGGTTTATTTTAGCTATAACTGAGTACTTTTGTAGTTTCTTTTGCCTCAAGTACAGTGTTTAAATATTTCAATTTAGAGTTCTGAACAGAGAGAGTCTATTTTGAGCATCTTCTAATTTTCCTTTACCCTGATGAGGCCATCTTAAAATATTTATATATATTTATATATATTTTATATATATAAAGATAAAGACTATTCTGCTCTGAATGCTGAAAGGCAAAGGAAATCCTTTTGGGGAGTTGGAGGGGAAAAAAAAATAAATGTGGAAAGGAACTCCAAACCTTTCAGCATTACCTTTTTTTCTTCCTCTCCCTCCCCTTTTTATATTCCAGTCATGTGCAGTTACTGTCACTTGTCTTTTCCTAACATTTTTTGCCTTTAATCTCGAAGGAAGAATTTTTATTTTGCACTATGTTTGAAATGCATCATAATAAAAGATAAGTTATGGGCAAAGCTTCCCTCCCTAACTTCTATAGGGAATAATACTAGCTGTGCTAGTACTTTACTAGAATGATTCTTTCTGCTACAAGTTTGACATCTCTATTTGGACACTTGAAATGTTTTGTTGGTTTTTTTCTTAAAAACACAAGTGAAAGAATTTTCTAATCAGTCTTCAATGTTTCATCCTGCCCCAGTATCCTTTAAGGCAAAATCAGTAAGGCCAGTCAGTGTCTTGGGATTATTGCTTTTTTTCACTGTTGCTTTGCATTTGGTTGTACTGGGTCTGGTTGAGATGGAGTTAACTTTCCTCATAACAGCCCCTATAGTGCTGTGCTTTGTGTTTATGGCAAATGCGTTGATAATACACCAGTATTTTAGCTATTGCTGAGCAGTGCTTGCACAGCATCAAGGCGGTCTCTCCAGCACCTCGTTCCCAAAGGACAGTGAGCTGGGTGTGGGCAAGATCTTGGGAGGGGACATAGCCAGGACAGCTGACTCAAACTGACCAAAGGGATAGTCCATACCATATGATGTCATGCTCAGCAAAAAAAGCTGAGAGGGGAGAGGGGGACAACACACAGACAGGGCTGAGAGAGAGAATCATGGTTATGGTGTTTGTCTTCTCAAGCAACCGCTACACATACTGAGGCCCTGCTTTCAGGAAATGGCTGGAAATCTGCCTGCCATTGGGAAGTAGTGAATAAATAATTATTTTTGCCTTGCTTCCATATATGACTTTTGTTTTTCCTTATTAAGCTGTTTTGTCTCTACCCATAAGCTTGTCCATTTTATTTTCTCTCGCTGTCCTGTTGATGAGGGGGAGTGAAAGAACAAGTGCACAGAGGGCTGGCAGCAAGCCAAAGTCAACTCACCACATTGGTTTTATTTTAAATAAATTTTATAAATATTCTATGGATACAAAATAGCAAGAAAGAGTAAGGAGGCAGTGTCATACTAGTGTCCTTTAGGCCTTTTATTACCAGCCTTCATTTTTTCAGTATTATCAAAGATGGCTCCATAGTTACTCCTTCAAGACACTTGAAAAGAAATTCAGTGTTTTAATCTCAAACATAATATTCCATATTCATATATAATGTTTTGTTCTTTCATATTTGAACATCCCTTCCAACTCGAGGGAATATCGGTATCATCCTTATCAGATCTTCATCTGAACCTTAAATTGACTTCTAAAAGTCTCCATATATATGGGTCTTATTCACTGTGCCAATATCTGCTGTAAAGCCCTGTGCTGAAACCGACCTGTAAAAGTATTTATCATCTACAGGTTCTGCCAAAACCAGCTCCTCTAATAAGTAGATGGTTTATTAGCTTTAATGTTAGGTATTGGTCTAACATTCTGACAATTTTTTTTTAACCTTAATGACTTCAACTCCTGGCTTTTACAGTAAAAGGCTCCTCCTGCCCCTCTTCTTTCATCTATTTCCAGACTCTTTCTGTCCCTTTATATTTAATTTTCCTGCAACTTAAGTAGGTATGTATCTTAGCCTTCTCACACAAGCTGTGTACTGCATGTAAGTACTTACATCTGTGGAAGCTCAAAGCTGAATGCATATTCATGCCTTCCTGAATGAATGGTGTGAAGACCTTCTTCAGAATTGTCATCATCTAGGAGGGAAAAACCCAATATGCTATTCCACCTGTGAACATTTTACACAGCATAATATATTACATAGGTTTCTTTTCCAGAATAAGAGGGACTTAGATATTCTTTACAATACTAAGAACACAGTGTCCCAGAAAAAAGTCTCTCCAGCCCATTTGTATTAACTGCTAGATGTATGGCTGCAGAATTTGTAAGGTTAGGTGATATTCCAAGATTCACCTTACATAAATTAAAACAAGTTAACTTCTACTTTTATGATCCTGATTCCGAATACTGACATAGCCATTTCAAGGTCTGCCTGAAAGATTTGTAAAGGAAACTGTGTTTTCCAATAAGATTTCTAATTACAACTTAAAATGTAGAAGAGCTCTCTAATAGTATTAAATAATCTTACCATTAAGTCTGCTACATTAATAGATTAAATTTAGTAATTCAGCTTCCTTCGATCTCCTGCCTAGCAAGTGTCCAAAAATTGATTTTTTTAAAAAAGTGCACAAGCACCACCTAGAAAGTACCAAACAAATTCAGAGGCATGAAATGTGGCAAGCTGTCCAATTAATATTGTTTAGAGCTAATGTATCAAAAATTGAAAGTTTATCTCAATTTTGCTTGGATAGCAAGAACCCCAGAATTTCCTAATTACAACAAGAAAGCTGACCTTGGTTTATAGCCAAGATTTCTCGCATCACTTGAAATGTTCCAACAAATTTGTGGTTTGTTCTGATATAATTACCATAAAAATGCCAATTCCATCAAAATACAAAGTTATTTAGAGAAAATAATTGAGCCTCTCATATGCAAAAGGGTTGGGGTAATAAAAACACATATAGTGAAATTATGCAAAAGACACTACCTATTGTGAATAGTCAGACATCACAAACGAATGTTTGCACTTTTTAAGATTATTTTTTTAAGAAGTTTTTCTTCCTTCCTGCCAGATCAGCAATCTCATTGAGCCTGAACAGCAGCACTGCAGTAAAGTACTGAGCTGTCAATCACAGACCTATTGTGTCACATAGATGTGCACAAGTCTATGGGACCAGATGAGATGCACCCAAGGGTGCTTAAAGAGCTGGCAGAAGTGCTCACCAAGCCACTCTCCATTATTTACCAACAGTCCTGGCTAACCGGGGAGGTCCCAGGTGACTGGAAGCTAGCAATTGTGATGCCCATCTACTAGAAGGGTCGAAAGGGTGACCCTGGGAACTACAGACCTGTCAGTCTGACGTCGGTGCCAAGGAAGGCTATGAAGCAGGTCATCTTGAATGCCATCACTTGGCACATACAAGACAACCAGGTGATCAGGCCCAGTCCACATACGTTCACGAAAGGCAAGTCCTGCCTGACTAACCTGATCTCCTTCTACAATGAGGTGACCCACCTAGTGGATGAGGGAAGAGCTGTGAACGTTGTCTATCTGGACTTTAGTAAAGCCTTTGACACTGTCTCACACAGCATTCTCCTTCAGAAACTTGTGGTGCTCGGCTTGGATAAATACACTGTGCGCTGGATAAAAAACTGGCTGGATGGCCGGGTGTGGAGAACTGGCCTCCAAAAAAGTATGTCTCTCAATGAAATTGACTGTAATAGAGAGGCTTAACAGAAAAAATAAAAATAAAGGAGAAATGGTAGCAATACTGCGGAGTAGGGACCGCGGTTGGGACTTCATCACGAGCTGGGAGCTGCCTAAGACTGTAAAGCAATGAATGCCGATAAAGACGATCATTGTGGATCTTTACCACCCTCATTGCACACTGCTGCTGGTAAAAAGGAGGAAGAAGAAGATAGAAGAAAGAAAAAAAGGAGACCAGATAAAAGGGATCTTTCTGTGGCTAGGAAAAGGAGCGTGTCCCTGCTTTTCCTCATGGAGCCTGCTCAAACGGAGTTGAAGAAATGGAAGAAGGGAGCTGGAGCACACCAAAAAAGCTGGAATCACTGCTCGCTCCCCACAGCCCTCCGTCATCAAGCGCTCCTAAAGCAGCCATTGCAGCCGCGCTCCTGAGGTCCAGCCACAGCTCCAACCGTGTAGCTGCCGCCCTCTGGACCACCAAGCCCCTGCAGCAATCCCAAAGCTGCAACCGTGCTCCCGAGGCAGTCACTAGCCGCCCGCCGCCACTGCAGTTTCAGCTGCAGCAGCTAGTCGCCGCTACTCTTATCAGTGTTTCTGAGACAGGGAACTGTAAGACTAACCAAGAAACCTTTCTTTTCCGCTGTTCTCTTCCCCGGGCGAAAGTAACCGACCACACACACACACACGCACGCACCTTGTCGACTCTATAAGGGAAAGGCGTCGGACTCTCTCTACACTCAACTATAATAGTCTTTATTTCTCTTTACCAACCGGGTAGATTTGCATATCCAGTTTCCCCCACACACACTCTTCAAAAACTGAGTAAAGTGGTATTTAAAACACATAATCTCTGTGTTTGTGCTGGTGTGCGCACATCTGGGCAGAACTTTGTGTTCTAGAGACATACCGGTGTAGGCCAGCCAGTCCCAAGCTAGGGATGAACCCACTGGGAAAGTAAACCCAGCAAATTTGGGGCTACTCCTTCTCTAATTGAGGAGAAGGGGCAATCTGTGATTCAACTCGAGTTTTTCTAGCCCAGGTTGAGCTCGGACCACAGCACTGGGCCCAAAGAGTGGTAGTTAATGGAGTTAAATCTGGCTGGCGTCCAGTCACAAGTGGTGTTCCCCAGAGTTCAGTACTGGGGCCTGTTCTCTTTAATATCTTTATTAACGATCTGGATAAGGGAATTGAGTCCACCCTCAGTAAGTTTGCAGGCAACACCAAGCTAGGTGGGTATGTCGATCTGCTAGAGGGTAGGGAAGCTCTACAGCAGGACCTAGACAGGTTAGATCAGTGGGCCAAGGTTAATTGTATGGGGTTCAACAAGGCCAAGTGCCAGGTCCTGCACTTGGGTCATAACAACCCCATGGTAAGCTACAGACTTGGTGATGTGTGGTTGGAAAGATGCAGGTTGGAAAAGGACCTGGGGGTATCGATCAATAGTCAACTAGATATGTCCTGGTTTGAGCCAGGATGAAGCCAATTTTTCTTTTTACTGATTTTTTTTTTCCTTCAGTAAGCTTTCTTGTAACTAGCAACAGTGTGTTCTGCTAGGCTGATAAGACAGTGGAATGTTTTTCTAACTACTGAGGCTTCAAGGCTGCACCTGCACTCTGCCAGCTCAGACACTATGGGGAGATCTGTGACCCCCCCGTAGGAGGCTGAGTTAGA